CCTCCCATAGGCTAGGGCCCCAGGAAGAAGTTTACATTTCTCAAGCTATTTCACACTCAGTCTCTGACAATTTGTCAATTAACTGCCCTTTAAGTGTTTTTATTAATTGCTGTATGCAGCAATGACTTCTGTTCCCAGTAAGCTGTGATTCTCTGTATTCTCCTGTTTCCAGCAGTGATTTGTTCTGGGACTTCAGTTCTCTGTTGAATCTAAGACAACTTGTTATTATTTTAAACCTTAGAGGAGGTTCTTGTTGTTGTTTTAAATATTCTATATCAATTTAGTTTTACTTGTTCATTTTTTCTTTGGCTGCTCTTTATTCCTTCCTGTATTATTGTACCTTCATTTAGGAACACTTGTTTGCCTGAAGAACTCTCTTTAGTAAATAAGGGTCTACAGACAATAAATTGAATTTATATGTGTCTGAAAGACATTGATTGATCCTCATTTATGAAGAATGTATTAACTGAAAATAAAATTCTGAATTGGCACTTATCTTTCATCATTTAAATGTGTCATTGCATTATCATCTGGCTTCGATTGTTTCGTGTGTCAAATCAGTTATCATTTACTGTAGTTTCTTTTTATCCTGTAATATTTTAAGATGTCTTATTTTTCAGCCAGTTTCTCCATGATTTGCCTGACTGTGGCAACAGCAGCTTTTTCTCTATCCCTTTCATCCTCCTCCCTCTTCCATCATTCTTCATCTTATAAATGTTACTGGAGGTTGAACAGGTTCATCAACCTATGGCTTAAAGTTCTGGGATTTTTTTTGGTCAGTTTTGGAAAATTTTTTAGTTATTATCTTCTTAAATAAGACTTTTGACCCATTTGCTCTCTTTTCTTTCTGGGAATCCAATTACATATATGTTATACACGCTCGTATGCTTTCACTTTTACACTGTTCTGCATTTTGTATGTTTTTTGCTCTGTAAGCTTCAGCCTGGATATTTTGTAATGCTATATTTTCCTAGTCACTGATTTTCTCCTCTGCTGTATCTAGTATTCTGTTAAACCCATCTATTAATACTAGACTATTTAAGATTTTTAGTTTTAAAATTAAATTTTATTCTTA